ACAATAGACAGACATAGTGCTATGAGATAGGGAAGCTTTGTGTTACACAGGGAGCGGAAACATCAAAAATTACTGCGAAGTTCATCTGTTATGCGATGCTACATTTGAGTGACGAGCGGACCTACAGGATCAGAAGCTTCGGGAAATAAACTTCGCCGAAACATCCTGCACCACGGGTACAAAAACAAAAAGCTGGCTATACTAATGCCATCCTCACAAAGCACTTTTAGGGTAGGCAGGAAGAAAACCTGTTATGACGGACCGATTTCACATCGTCTCGAAAAAGCCGGCATGTTTCCAGAGTTTTCGCAAAACAGCAAGTGGACGGACAGATGTATGAAAAGGATCTTATCCTGTTCTCAAGGTTACCTTATCTAATGTGTTGGTATTAGTCACGTAATCTCAAATCCACAGGCGGTAGTGTGCGAATGAGCAATAGATGAGCACCGCAGTTGCAGTGCCATTGTTGAAGAAACATCTTGCGAATGTGTGCTGTTGCTTAGAACTTTATCCGCTGATATAACCATCATGCAAATTGATACGAGCCAAATGCATCATTGCAGCCACATACCACTGATCAAATCCTTCCTGTGCCCACAAAAACAAACCTGGTTTATCGCCCCACAAGGGTGCCAACCTCTCAGTTGTGTAAGCCTAGGACTGTAAGTTAGCTGTCTTTGATAGAAGCTAATTCATAGCCGGGATAACTTGAGGTTTGCTCAGATCTTCATGCACCTCATAGCGACTCACCTCTGAAGCACAGTGGCATAGGTATTTCAGCTCTTTCGGAAAATTACGATTTGAGCCATTAAATATTGAAATTAGGCGAGATACGCTCAAAACTTTGGAGTATGACAGAACAGACCCAAAGCAACTCAAAACCACGAAACCAAAAATGCCCAGTATGTTGATAATTAGGAATATACCCATACCGCCCATCCGAAATATCAAGAAAATTTACCATACCAAATTCAGACTTATGTTAAACGCCTTAGCCTCACATTTAGAGGCCCTACAGGCCACTGCCCGAAATACCTTATTAAACTTAAATAGCCAGGATCTCACTGATCAACAGTCCTGTTTTTTAAAAACAGACTAGTCAGCATGCAAGGTTCAGTCGTCTTTAGACAAATATGTATGGAGAAGTGGGTCATGTGATGGCCGCTTTTTCGCTCCAACGGATCAAATTCCACCCTTAGTCTACAAGATACAAGCGAAAAATTCGCCCATACAGCCCAAAAGAAGTTGGCATAAATCCAATCAGCGAACCCATTTCGGGCTCCATAGTTAACATCTCAACCCTTTATTAAGAGTGCTCTGTCTAATGCACAATACTCACTGCACCACACCAAGCACTGCCGCGCACCACTGACGCGGGCGTCAGGAAAGTCTGTCGGGAGCGACACAGGTTTGTAACAACTTACTCGCTACACTACTGCAAAACAGAGATTATGGAAATTTACCCCTGAAGTACTTTTGTTAGCCCTGTAGTATTGGATCCTGTGATGATTAAAGCTTGTATCTATCATACAGCCAAAATACCGGTGCTCGGAAATATCAACATACACTATTTTTTACACCATCCAGTTCATAAGCAGAACAGCCGTAGCAGCCCGTCCAGTACAATAACAGTAGGAGCGGGCCTGCCAGTGGACCAGAAATGAGACAGTAACGCGTCATGTAGATTGCCCTATGACAAACAGCCCGACGGACTCACTTGTCATGTTTGCGAAAACAATAAAGGCCTTTTGGTACGTAGATAACCTCTACGGAGAGAGACGTCATGTCGCCAGAATGAGTAACTGCGGACATACACCAAGCTCCAAAAAGATCAAGCCGGTTCATTCGCTTTTCTCTTCTTATGATGGCATGACAGCCTATCCGGAAAGTGGCCTGCCTCATTATCACCACTTCTCCAGGTTCCCTTCGGTCCGGCGATTTGAGAAGTGGGGGCCAAGAATCAACTAACCAGTCTAGATGCAGATTGATAAAAAAATCCAGACATGGTGACCGCGATTTTCCCTGTAAATCTAAATGGCGTCCTAATCTAGCCAGTCTTTCAAGTGCCGTAATCGAGTTGAAAATCAGCTTCTCTTTCCTACGGATCGAAACGACGTTGAATTGCACCACTTTTCGTGGTCGAAAGTCAATATTTAACCGGAAGCTTGGGACAAAGTTCAGTGATTTCCGTAGGCATGAAACTTATGGATTACATTCTCGCCAAATCCGTCAATCAAATCGCAATCTCCCAAATGACCCAAACCGCAAGTTTGGCGAATGGTTTTCTGATGCAACTAATAAGATAGCGAACGCCGGTACCATATCGGTGCCCATGCTTTCATATTTTTAGAGGCATTTAGCGGAAATGAGTTTGGTCAGCCTATTTGTTCTAGTATTCTCTTATCTCCCACACGGTATCGTAGCGCAGTCTGCTTTCGCCCATCCTCCCGCTTTTAGGGAGTTTAACTCCGTTTTCCATTGTTTTTTCCTTCTTTTCTGAGATTTAGTGGCTTATTCTAGCATAATTACAATTTTAGTGAAGCCCATTATTTATGCACTCCGTAACTTTCACATTACCCTACGCTGTCGAATGCCTATACAGTCCCGTAGATCTTCCGTTCCTTGAGAGCGTTTTAGAATAAAGGCCATCAAACTCATGGCCCAAGGCATAAATCCTCAGTGATTACTCGTTCTGTCTTTCTGCACCTATCACCTACGTAAACTCTCAACCTTAGTGTCTGCCACAATCTCCTGGTAAGCCCTTGGTTCAGACGGTTACTGTCAGCTAACTCCACAGACAGGTCCTACTTTACCTTTCGTGTATGGCTACTAATAATAAAATAAAAATAAAATAAAAAATAAAAAAATAAAATAAAAATAAAAAGTAAAAAATAAAATAAAATGAATAAAATAAATGAAGAAGTTATTGGCCCCGGGCGTAAATCCGCTCTCAAAGCATTTGTGATGCCAAATCCGCTGATGATGAGGGTTTTGCAACCAAAATACGACCTCAGTGAAAAATTGACGAAAATTGCTCCATCGTTCTTGAACTCCACCTCACCTGAGCCATCCCCACAAGCTGTCGCCATGGTTTTATACCAGTTGTATGACTGGCGCTTAGCAAAATGCTCGTAGTACTATTTTTACGAATTCCTGGTTGAAACGTGCAATCTCCAGTTGAAGCACTTTTCACATATTTATTCGATGACCCCTTTCATTATCTCCCTCTCTATATATATCCATCATATCTCTATCATAATTTGACTCCATTGAGGGCCTTGAAATTTCGGTACTTTCAGTAAGCCTTCTTCCTCCTCCTTATCACTTTTGACAAGCATGGCTGATCTTAATCAAGGTTTTCCATGCCAATATTTTCACTCCAAACTACAGGTGGTGCTAGGTTTTTGTTCGCAACGACATACCCTATGTGGCTCATGCCCATATTTAAGTCTGCATTCTATTCACCGACTGAACCCAGCATTCTCGTGATTCTTTACTGACCTAATCGTGCAAGCTGAGAGGAAAGGTGCGCAATATCACCGTATTTCAGAGTCTTGCACCGATGCCCTTCAAGGACAACTTGTCTCAGACAGATGTTCATGTGCTAGCCTCCATATGTCCGGAGTGCACTGGGATCGGGGACCTCCACCTTCCAACGAATTGTTGGCCCCACAAATCTGCCTCTAGTGGCTCGTTCAGAGTGGTATCACTCAGGCTAATTAATAATTAGGTGTTATTCTGGTACGCTCAAGAGACGGCCAAGTGAAGAGAAGGTCAGGCTGTGATATTTGCGGAGTTGAGCAGTGTTAATTGTACTGTCTGTGTGCAGCCCCGTAGGAGTGGTGATTATTTCATGTTTCAGTTAGAACCACAGGTCGCCTGAAATCAGGTATCCAGGATGTATCAAAGATGTATGAAAGATGTTTTGCGTATTAAGGTGAAGCACCTCTGACATACCATGCGGAAGAGATCACCTAGATTCGAAAGTCCCCTCCTTAAGATAATGCCACGCCAAACAGGAACAACAGACCAGATAGCCCAGATGAAAGAAAAATGATATGAGACGTCATTCATAGGGCCTACGTCACGAAGGCTCACCACAAAGGAGGCAAACGCAGAAAAGATCAAGGAAGACCGGTTCAGTGGAAGACCGCGTGCCAAAATGCGAGTAGGGCTCAATTAAGTTGCCCAATAGAAAAAGATAGGAAGGACCGAAATTTCAAAACTAAATCTTTTGGCGCCCTACTTCCGTCAAAAATGGTACTCCAGTCGGGAATATAAGGTCTTTTAAAGGATATCTGGCGACTGCAAATTACAGAGCGGTTAATGCCTTATTTTAATAATCTGAAATGTTATTTCAAACAGACCAAGGTAGGCACAACGTACAGTGAAACTTTTGGTGGAATGAACCCCGTCAAGACTGAGTTTGCTATCGAGATTGACGAGGTGTATCCGAAACTTCAACGTCCTGTCGTGACCAAGACTACAAACCCAGATGATTTAATTAGGCTGAAGCTTCCCATCGAGGGGGCTACCCAAATCTCCCGAAGTGGCGCTGTTCAGCACATCTGTCAAAGTACTGAACACGTGTGGCATGGGGACTATCGCACCAGAAAAGGGGCAGGGGCGGCGTTTGAGAATATATCAATTTTTGTGGACCTAGTTTTGTTGGGGAAATATTGCGGGACCAATTTGTGGCCCACCAAACTTTTTACGTCTTAACAGGAGCAAAAAGTCTAGAGTCGCTAATAACCTCCCCTACCTCCATTAAATGATTTCCTTTCTCTGCTAACCCAACGCTTCTCTCGTTTATCACCGCTCACACACTATTGTGCGGCGCTCTCGTCCTGAATATAAACAGAAGGTATTAGAAAGCGTGAAATACCGCATAACGTATGCATCTTTTTGGTATCAGCAGCTTTTTGGTCAACAAGAAATCCCTGGGAGCATTGAAACTATACATTCTTTTACATTCTTCATTTTTGACGGTAACATAGCCGCGCATATTTAAAGAATGTAGCAGTTTCTGCTCGCCCATTTGCTGCCAAGCTCAGTTGGTTGAATAACTGTAAGTTTATAGAATTTATGGTGCGCAGTTGTTTTTCACCTTTGGATATTCAAATAGCATGATTGTCATCATAAACAGGAGCGTTTGCGTGAAACTGTGGAAGGAGGATTCTAAGGTCAATTCAATTCAGTATAGGATACAACGAACACAGGTAATTCCACCCCTCTGATCTCAGGTGGGGGAGAAAAGGTAACACAAGAGGCGTTTAGAGCCTGAACGGGAATAAAGGAAACCGAGATATCTTTTATAAGACTCCTGGTTGATTTTATCCGACTGATGAATAAGTGCGAAACCATGGCTTTTTTCGTGTACACAAGGCTTTACAACATCAACAGAAAGAATACAGAGAATGGCTGCCACAGTGATAGTGAAGTTGGAGGACCCCACCTAACTTGAATATTCACCTCCGAATACCACAGCAAACGTATGCACGTGATATTTTGCACCGATCCCCTGGAGGCAGAAAACCTCCAGTGGTGGTTCACTTCTAATAAGACAAGGCCATCGGCTTCTTAAAGCTGTGAGCATTTTTGGAATTCATTTTGGCCCGCTAGGAGATACTCTTCAGGCTCGCGGACACGAAGACGAAAGACCGTTTAGAAGCAGCATCAACCGAATCGAAAAAATGAGTAAATGGCTGTAAAGTCTCCAGAGGTAGTACATGGACAGAAGTAAAGCAAATGCCATAAGTCACGTCATCTGTGACTTTGGATAACTACCAAAAGCGGACGGGAAATAACAAACATCCTAGTACTCACAACACAACTAAACTCTTGGAAGGTTAATAAACGAAGCTTTCAGAAAACATCAAGGAAATGTGAGAAACTGAAGGCTATTGGCAGCACGAAAAATTGTGCAAATGGCACAGCGAGAAACCTCAAAATACCTAAAGCAAAGAGTTGGAAATATCGGAGCTACTGACACCCGAGGTTTATTAGTCAAGCCATTCGGTGAAATCTCAATTGATCAGTTGATTTAGCTATGAAACATTTCTACAGTGATCAACAAGTAAAAGGATGGGCTCCATAGTTGTATAACCGGGGACAATCTGCCAATCAAGCGACAAAATTGAGATGAATAATCGCTCACGACTACACAGATGGGTAGAAGAAAGCAATTTTCCCGCTCCATGAGAACGGCTAATCCATAGCATGCAATGCAAATCGGGTTCTGTGCTACAAGGATTCGTAGCTCAAATATATGCCGCATCCAAAGGCATGATAAAGGCTTTGAGTGACCGATTTTAGCCGTCGAAATTGGTATATGCGTCAGACTGTGCGAAACAGCGTGCTATATGTAGAAGAAAGGCAAGTTCAGAGAGAAGATTTTGGAAAAATGCAAAGGTAGGAAGATATCAGTCGGGTTTTACAACCTTTAGATTTTTACATTTCTTTTGAAACCCGAGTGTAGCAAAGTGTGGAAGATACTATGTGTACGGTATAAACCGACATGTACTACGTGGCATGGCACAACCACACGACAAATTCCAGGTTTATCGGTGGTTCTTGTGAGAAGCTAGCTGATGGCACTTGGATCAAACAGACAGTCAGTTTGTATCAGGTGCATGTGGCATTGGCATGACTTGGTGGGTTAGAGGAGGCTACAGCCCGCAGCATTTCCCCATGGAGGCGTGCCTTCAGTGTATTCAAATTTGTGGGATTCTTCCAGGAGCCTATAAGGCGGCATCACTTCGCATGCACTAGAAGACAGTAAACTAGAAAAATCACTCAAAGAGCGGCACTGAAACGTGGTGCTTACAATTTAGTTGCCTGCATTGGACATGGCCATTAGGTGGCAACTTTCCAAAGACACCAATACTAATACTGATACTTAATTATCTGGCAAGACTTCGAGTGCGTGATAACGTACCTGTTGTTTCTGTCAACTGGAAGGTCGTGCACCACTTGAAAGCCAGATACTTGTTAATTCAGTGCCGGTTTTGTTGATTTCTGGGCAATTCTCTGACTAACCATAAGCGTAGTAAAGGCGTGTTAAAGCTGCTTAAGAATGGGTGTGCCTTTGACTAATTTAGTCACTAGTGATGCCAGTATGTCTAGAAAACAAAGAATAGCACAGAAAATGCGCGGGTAGGTCTGTTCTTAGATAAAGCTGGCAGCATTGGTAAACGAAACTGAAGTTCTGCAAGAAGCAACCTCTACCCAAGTATAATGCTATGGGGGATTATATATATATTGAGCTGGCTTGCGATTACTCTCTGTGCATGCAATTTTCTGCACCATCTGCGTTTTGTGAAAGAATGACTTCAGACGTAGCGTGTGTCGCTTTGATTCGAAACCAGAACGTGAACATATTTCATGCAAAAGGAATAGCCTAGAAGAGATCTACACTTGCACGCTCAAGATGACGTTCTGGACGGCGTGTAAAATCGTTATGGATACTTGTGCTGTTAGATGATAATACTTCACGTACTTCTAAGTTACGCTGCAGCTTTTTCCGTTATTTGAAAGCCAGTCTAAGCACCTTCCCACTAGCCCACAAATTTAAGGAGCAGTTTATAACGAGTAGCATTTGGTAAGACAGTTGGTACTTTTAACATGTGCACGCCTAACTGACAAGTCAAAATAAAAACGCATTGCATAGAAGCAGCATAAAATCAAGATCTGAAAATTAATAGTGGCAATACATTTACAAATTAAACAACACCCCACTAAAAAATTAATAAAGACATATAAAACCGTGAGCTTTATTTGAGGCTAGCCGGTGCAATAATTCATTCTAACCTCCTAAGAACACAAACTTAACCTGTTTGAAAGAAAGGAAGTAATTTCCGAAAAAACACTAAAGATGCACAGTGGTGGACCGAAATCAGAGTCAAGTATGCGAAAATGCATGCTGCAGTTGAACTACTGGGTTTGAAATGTGGAAAACACTAAAGACCATCTGACTTATGGCATCTTTTTGAGCAACTTTAAAAAAACGTTGAAAAGGTGAAAAGGATTAACAGAAAGACACAGATGAAAAAACTACAATATAACTTAGAAAAACCAAGGTTTCATACCACATAATTTACCTATCTTAAGACAGTAAATTGGTAGAACGGCTTCCACAGTAGTGTCGTATTAGCACTTTCCCTTGTGATATAACTATTGAGACCTATAACTTCAAACTGGACCTATGAAATGTAGAGTTGACATAGGTCTCTTAGACTTCTGCGTCTGCTACTTACTAACTGGCCGAGTGACTTGAATGTACTAAACGTAGATGTTGGTTCAAATAAACTCAAACTGAGACTAATAATTTTTTTGGTTAGTATCGCAAGACATCACAAAGCCAACTAGGCTATGAGTAAATAGTGTCAAGTAATGTGTGCGCCATTTTGGAGCAATATTTTGATCACATTCCTAAAAAAGTCGGTGGAGGAGTAAATGTTCAGATTTGCCACAGGTTTTGAACAAACTAACTAACGCGCTAAAGAACCTTGGTCCTTGTTACTCCAGAAAGACTTAGAATTCAGATCGATCGCAGTTTTGGCAGTGACAGCAGGAGACTTAGTTTGTCTCACTTTAACTGTGCGAGCCTTTTGTAGTACACTTAGCGTTTGAATTAAATTGTTCCCTTAACAAAATGTGGTAAAACGCCGGATACGTGTTACATTCTCAAATGAAAGCAAAGACAATATAAAAATGCAAAACAGGCTCAGTCTGTGTGAAACGTAACTTTTTCAGTTCCAAAAGGTTACTTTTTGTGTGCTAGATTTTGCCTTGAGGAAAGCTTTAGTTTTAAGAAATGAAAACTAGGCTGATACACATCCATCTGTGTTCATTGATTCTTATATATTTAGGCAAGAGCGTCCGTCGATGTCTCTTGATTTGCGTAATTAGGTACTAGCTGTGCAACTGACCTGTGCATGCGTTCCAGAAAAAAGCCTCCCCTTTTTGAAAGCAGAAAATTAAACAGGTTCACGATATCCTGGGAGCAGTTACAGGGGGGTGAAGGATAAAATTACATTTTGTCCTTTGCCAGCGTTTTGGAGAACCATATGCTATAGCGTGCTGCAGTCAAGCCCAAAATATGGTAAAAAGCATTCGTTTGCCCTGAATTAATTTTCCAAAATATTCTACCTCCACTTCTTCAGGAATTTAGTGTCTATCAATGGTTCAAATATATTAGTCTTATCACGCGTCAACGAACACATTCTCTGACTGACTTCCGAGCTGACTTATCCATCTGGCTAGATGGTGCTAGAGTCAAAAAGATCTAACAGAAACAATGATCAGCTGCCGCACTTTGGTATTAGGACTAACCAAAAACCGCTAGAAGAGTAGTTTTTCACATCTGAGTGGTTTATGGGATTAATGTTTGGCGCGTAGGTGCAAAAGATTGAATGCAGCTCAGTTAAATCTAATCAGTATTCCAGTTAAAGTTGTTGCATGCAGAGTATGCTATTTTAATGCACCTACACGTGCAGATAGAAGATAAAATAGGTTGTTTTAGTTTAAAAGCAATAAGTGATAGATTCAAAAGATGTTTTTGCAGATCTCTGAATCTTCATTGCTGCTTTGATGAGTCCGCAGCTGTTTGCCGGTGCTTATTGGTTGAACTTATTAGGTCTACGTGTATAGAGGTGATAAAGCTCAGATGCAGAAAAAACAGAAGACATGTCGGGCAAGTACGCCATGCATAACGATTAAAAAATACACAGTTTTTAAAACTCTCATTAGGACCATTTTTACGTAAAAACGGCTAAATCCCCGCTCAAAAAACATTTTGCTGGCAAAAACAACACAAAATCACAACAGCTTGGAAGCGATGATTAAGCAGGGAGGTTTTCCTAATCGTGATTATAATTTACAGGTAAACAGAATGCATCTTGAAATGTCCACCGACAAAGAAGCAGCCGAGGGATGTTTGAAAACCTGGTAGGTCCAAAAAGTGTTGTCGCTCATTTGGTTGTGTAGTGGGAGTGGGGGTAATTACACAATTTTTAAGGTAACACATTTTGTCTTCCAAACAAGTAACTATCAACCTTGGGCCAGTGA